TATCAGTATCCAGCAGAGCATTGGTTACAGCTTCTAGGAGGAGTTTTCTTTTTCCTGTAGGAGGATGCAGGACCCCTGACCTCATTCTGGACAGTGCTGATCACATGCACTCATGCACCCAAGAAAAAAAAAAACTCTCTAGCAATACACTCCAAATTGAGCATGTGCAGCTTGCCCCTGAGCCTCTGTTCTATCAGAAGATATTTAGGAGACACTGGAAGAAGGGGAGGATCAGAGGAAACAGGATCAAACATCCTTTTTACACAATGTGGAGGATTAAAACCTAAAGTGCCACAGTGAGTATAACAAGTATACTTTACTGCATAAACAGACTGATTTTACTGTTGTGGGTTTAGTAACACTTAAAGAACTATCTTCAGCATATAAAGAAGAACAAGGAGTCATAGAAGTAATGGTTTGGCCCCCACAGAGCCCTGATCTCAACATCATCAAGTCTGCCTGGAATTACATGAAGAGACAGAAGAATTTGAGGCAGCCCACATCCACAGAAGATTTGTGATTAGTTCTCCAAGATGTCTGGAACAACCTACCTACCCTTGGTAACCACTTTGCTGTCTTCATACCCCGATGTGCTTTGACTGACCCAAGCTGTAGACAATGTGTGGTGCCAATTACTTGCATTACACCTCTTTAGTAACTTCAGACCAGGAAAAGGATAAAGTTTCAAAAGCTTTACTGAGACGTTCTGAACATTACAAAGTCCAAAAAAGTGCATTCTTCCTACCATCCCTAATCCCTAACTACAGGTTTATTGGCTCCCCTGGCATACCTGCATAGGCAAAAGTCCATTCCTGGTAGTGACTATTATGGAAGAATCTAGGTTTGGCACCTTCAGAGCAGACTACAAGTCCCAGTAATCCCCTTACACAGCGGAAAGCTCCTGATGGCAGGCAGTCTCGAGTGAGTACTCTGGCATTGGCATCAGCAGGGAACCCCAACGTTGGCAGCGGCAACAGCGGATGGCAGACTCTCCAGGCTCCAGACCACTGTCCCCTTATAGTGATACAGAACAGGTAGGTCAGACCCAAAACAACCCGCCAAGAAACACAGTTAACCCTAACCCTCCTGTCTAGGGCAGTATCTAGCTACACTACAAAACGCACATATACATACACTGTGTGTATATACATATACATATAAACCAAGAATGAGAATGGGGAATAAAGGGTATTTAAGTGACTTTGAACATGGTATGGTTGTCGGTGCCAGACGGACTGGTCTGAGTACTTTCAAAACTACTGGGATTTTCACACACAACCATCTCTAGGGTTTACAGAGAATGGTCCAAAAAAGAGAAAATATCCAGTGAGTGGCAGTTGAGTGGATGAAAATACCTTGTTGGTTGATGTCAGAGGAGAATGGATAGACTGGTTTGAGATTATAGAAAGGCAACAGTAACTCATGTCAATATGGACCAAAATCTCTGAGGAATGTTTCCAACACCTTGTTGAATCTATGCCACGAAGAAGTAAGGCAGTTCTGAAGGAAAAAGCCGATCCAACCCGGTACAAGCAAGGCGTACCTAATAAAGTGGCCAACGAGTGTATTTGTGTATGTGTATACAGCGACTAGCTCAACAGGTGTTGCAATACGCAGCAGAAGGGTTAGTGTCAAATGATGTTTTCTAAATATTTGATTTCAAATGTGTATGCAGTGTATTTGGTGTTTATCATTGTATACTCCGCACGAGCTGTTGGGTTGTCACTCTGTATATAGGTTGTACTATAAGAAATACATACATAATTTTATTAATGAACATTACCTTCTTTGATGTGTTTATGTCCTAATTATGATAAATCTTCCACTGCCAGGTGGGATTCTTATAAAATGTATAGATAAACAGCGCAACATAGACCTAAATACAAATATTAGTAAATCACACAATATAAATGTCCCATATTAAATAGTGCATGTATATATCAAACAATCTTCAGAAAAAAACCATAAAGTCCCTTGTGAAGATAACTGAAGATTCCAAAAATGTTTATAGCCTTCCACCTTTCACCCGTGCACACCAACATCAAATACACTCACCAGATTTTGGTGAGTGAAAAGCCTTTAAGGATTTTTGGGAAATCCTAAACCCCCTTTTCATCAGCTCAATGATAGCCTGCCCCTCCAAGGTCTTGAGAACGCCCGATGGGAGGTGCGAAAAGCGTTGACGTAATTCCAGTCGATTTGCCGTACGTCTGACGTTACTTCCGGTGAGTGGAGCGCACGCCGAGCGGTGCGTTCCAGCGGCCATTTTGTGGGATCTAGGCTGGTTCTCTGCTGTTCCTCTGCTCTATCTGGCTGCATTGGTGTGGGAATCCTGGATCATGTTGGCTGGTTTTCATCTTAAGGCTGTCATGGGCTTAATAAATGTGCCTGTTATAAGCTGTTGAAATGTGAGTGGCCTGGATTTTGTCTTTTGGTATAATACTATTGTGGCAATATTACACTATATAAGTTTTCTCTTTGACGATATGGTGGAGCTAACTAGGAAGCCACGGTGAGGACCTGAAAGAAGATCTAAACTTGGAGGGGCAGGCTATCATTGAGATGATGAAAAGGGGGTTTAGGATTTCCCAAAAATCCTTAAAGGCTTTTCACTCACCAAAATCTGGTGAGTGTATTTGATGTTGGTGTGCACGGGTGAAAGGTGGAAGGCTATAAACATTTTTGGAATCTTCAGTTATCTTCACACAAGGGACTTTATGTTTTTTTTTTTCTGAAGATTTTTTGATATATACATGCACTACTTAATATGGGACATTTATATTGTGTGATTTACTAATATTTGTATTTAGGTCTATGTTGCGCTGTTTATCTATATATTTTATTGTTTGTGTTTTTACACATTTTTTGCACAGCAGCAATTTAGAAGGGTGATTTATTGATTTTGATTGGCGCAGGAATATTTTTCTTTTGTTTGGGATTCTTATAAAAGCTGCATCTCCCCCCCTTTTTTTTTTTGCTGGCCACACCCACTTTTTGCCATGGTGCAGTACACATCCTGTATGGAGAGATTTGTTTTCAGTTTGCAGGGTTATGCCCCTGTGTGGGGTAAAGACTAATATCCCAAGCTCCATACAAGGACATCACCGTTGAATAGTGAAAAATGTGGCTGGCATGTCGGGTGCTGCTGCCAGCTGTTTGTAAGGGGCTTGGTCAGCTCGGAGAAGTGGGCAGCATAGAGATGCAGCTGGCATATCTGGAGCCAAGTTTCCTGATTCCCATCAGGTGGCAGATCCAGCCCAGGACAAATAGTAGCTGGACGCACACAGCGAGCCATCAGACCGCTTGTTGGGCACCAGGAGCATGCACAACATGAGTAGGACACCTGAGCAACCAATCTGTGGCACAGTATGCTCACATAGCCCACCCTGCACCATGGCAGCTAAGGGCTGAAATCAGCATAAATCCAGAGCCACTGACTGATTTACACTTATTAGATTAGACAGAAGAAATTGGGAAGTAGGCTGTATATTGAGGTCAGGTCCGCTTTAAGTCACATCTGGGACAGACACAGCCTTAGCATATTTTTTGATGTTATTTTTAATTCAGCCTGTTTTTCATACATTAGTCCTCATTGTATTTTGTTCTGCGAGCTGTATTACTAGTTTTCTTTCATTGTAGGTGTCAAGCTGTTATGGACAATGAACTGTATATAGTGGTGATGAACTGCAACTAGACTGTTGGTTTTTGTCAAATCGAATGATGCTTAGTATTTTGCTTTGCTATTTTATTTTTTTTTCACTGAATTTTACTGAAGAATTGTACAGAAAAAGACAGAACTATTCACAGCCTCAGCAGATCACACCAGGACATAAGCAACATAGATACAACTGTGACATTTGTAGTGGATAATGCTTGATGCAGTATATGGACAAGTAATAATAAACTCATGTTTAAAAACTCAATTTGGGTTTGTTGTCCTGTGTACTGAACCCTATCTTCTAGTATTGCACTATTCTCATCTATTCTCATTCATTAGATGAGCTTGATAATCTACTCCTGAATGGTCAGGGTTACACTGGTTTTTCATTTTGATGAGAATCATGGCCCTTGTTGCAAGTCTGTTGTCTGTTCAGCAATGCCGTAGTGGGTAAGAGAGTATGTGTGGGTCATTAATATAGCGTAGATCTGAGATATAAGATGACAAGAGTTCGTCTTTTAATGGCATAATGTTTCAAACAGGGTTACGTCTCTACAAACCTATTCCAAGATTTTGAGGTTATTATAGAACATTTTTTTATTGAAAATATTGGAGCCAATGGTCCAGAAAATGGTCCAGACCTCAGGGGAGAATGAAAAAGTTATTGTATATCTCCCTGCCCTTTTCCTTTAGTGATAGAGTAAAGAATGATTCTTGTACAGCTAAAGAATGAAGGGCGGGTCATCCATGGTGTAAATTCAGGCTGCCCCAGTAATAGACCCTTGGGTTCTATGCAAGGAAAACGTGTCTGCTATCAAAGTGATGAGTCACAAACTCTACATGATGAGCACATTTGGAGAGTTGGAGAGTCAGGGACAAGAATGGAAATGTATCCACAGTAATGAGTGGTGCAATATGTGAACAGATGCTTCTCCCCTGAATTCCAAAGTTTATATTCAGTGTAAAAGATCCAGTCCACTATGTTAGTTATAAGAGTCAACTGGTAACATGATTCTAAATGAAGGAGGCATAATTGTTCTGTTTGTATGCACTTACCCAAGATGTCATATTGTAAGCAAGAAAGAAAGTGTAGTCAGATATAACAAAGCAGAGTCAATTTTAGTTTAGTGGAGAAAGTTTTGGTAAGCCCAAGTGACAATACCTAAAAACATAAGAGGAGGCAGGGTAGCATTTCCATTTTAAAAAGTGCAATGTGACTAAATCAGGAGCAGGGGCGGACTGACAACTCATGGGGCCCCCGGGCAATAGGGGATCATGGGGCCCCTGTGCCCTTGCCCAAACTCAAAAAAGCCTATGAAAAAGGTACCAGGGGCATCTCACTGGGCCCCCTACTGACCCCGGGCCCTCGGGCAGTGCCCGAGTTTCCAAATGGTCAGTCCGCCCCTGATCAGGAGTGTCTCCAATTTGACCATTCCTTGAGTCTTTGTATCATAGGATACAGCAGCGGAAGACTTTATTAGTTTTGCTATGATTTAAGTGTTACAAACAGTTTACTACATAAGTATATTATTTGTGTCTTATGATACAAATTAAGTGTTTATTGTATCACTGTATTAGCTGTGAAATCTATGCGTTCCCTAATAACCAATGTACAGCTCATGTCTCCACAGTGTTATAACAAAAGGATGTCCACCACAAATGCAAATAAGAGATATTGTATTAGTCTATCCAACCTTCCACCTCCAGAATATATTTTGTGCTGTGCTCTGTGGGCCATATATTTCCTTTTTGTTGTGCTGTCTACATACGAAAAATGTAGGGGTTTGGAACATAACTATATAATTATATATAATATATAAATAATTCCTGCACATTATAATATATCATTATTATTATACAGGATTAATATAGCGCCAACAGATTGCTCAGCGCTTTGCAATATAACGGGAGACAATACAGCAACAATACAGTTCAATACAAGAGGGATTTGAGGGCCCTGCTCCTTGGAGCTTACAATCTAGGAGATCAGCCATAACATTGTGATGACTCTGCCTAATACTAAGTAGGTGTCCCTTTTGCTGCCAAAACAGCCCCTTTTACCTCCAAAAACAGCCCTGATCCATCACAGCATGGCTGCCACTAGACCTCGTAAGGTATACTGTAGTATCTGGCACCAAGCCGTAAGTAGCAGATCTTTTAAGTTGTATAAGTTGAAAGGTAGGGCCTCTATGGAATGGACTTATTTTTCTAGCACATCTCACTGATGCTCAATGGATTGAGATCCATTTACATGTTGTAAATTAAAATATGACCAGGTCACCTTCTTCAATTGCTTTGTGGTCCAGTTCTGATGCTCACGTGCCCATTCTATGTGCTTTTAGACATGGGTCAGCATGGGCACCCTAACTGGTCTGCGGCTACACAGCCCCACATACAACAAACTACGATGCTCATTTTTCTGCTTTCAACACATTAACTTCATGGCCAACTAGTTTACTTTCTGCCACCATCGACTTTCAGATGTCATTATAAAGAGATAATCAATGTTATTCACGTTATCTGTTAGTGATCTTAATGTTATCTGTTACTGTTAATGTTATTGCTGCCCACCCACCCCCACTAAGAAGTGCACTCATAATATAGAAATAGTATATAACAAGTCTGTCTATTTTAATCTATAAAAGTAATGGATATAAATATATCTCCCTGCTCTAATAAAGGTATATATATATATAAATACCATATATAATAATTGCCAAAAGTATTGGGGTTCCCATGCTTTTATTGCACACCTTTACAACGCACATCAACTTAATGTAATGGCATCCCACCTAGTCTTAGTAAGGTAAGGTTCAATATTGTTCCCATTTGGCCCACCTTTTGTACAATGTAGCTATAACAACTTCAAACTCTTCTGGGAAGGCTTTTCCACAAGGTTTAGGAAAATGTGTCTATGGGAATGTTTGACCATTCTTCCAAAAACATTTGTGAAGTGCTTCTTTTCATCATCCTCTTTTTCCTTCTCATCCTTCTTTCAGTCCTTCTTTTCATTTTCCCATTCTTACTATCTTGACATTCTTCTTTCTTCTTCAAAAAGAAGAAATGAGAAGAAAGAATGAAAAGAAGAATGATAAGAAGACATTCAGAAAGAATGAAACAGTCTTCCTGGCTTGCAGGTCTCTGCTCTAATTTGTCCCAAAGTGTTCTATCCGGGTTGAGGTCAATTCCCCACCTTATCATTCCCCTTTTATCTAATAATTTCTTTTCAACCCAAACTCTTTACTCTTCATGAAAAAAAGAATAGAAAACAATAAGAAAAGAATGAAATTGCCATCAAAAAGAAAAGATAAAAATTCTCCATCCCAAAATTAAAAAAAGAAGAAACTTTTAATTCTTCTCATTATTTCTTTTCATAAAAATTTCATGTCTTTATGACCTTGCTTCTGTGCACTGGTGTCTCATTCATTGGAAATATCTTCTATTCATTCTTCTTCTATTCTTCTTTCATTCGTTCTTCTTCTTCTTTTCAATTCTTTCTCATTCTTCGTTAGCTTCTTCATCCCCAAAAAAAAAGAATGAGAAGAAGAATGACAAAGTTCGAAAAAAAGAAATGAAAAGAAGAAATGAGAAAAAAGAAGAATTACAAGAAGAGATGGGAATTGTACAACATGTCTTGGAAAAAAGAATAATGAAAAAGAAGAATGTGAAAGTAAGAAGAAAATCTTTATTGAGGATGGAAGAATGAAGAAGAATTAGGATAAAATAAAGAAAAAAGCCGGCAAAAAGTGTCTCTGCAGATCTGATACACTAACATCTGCAGATACACCTCTTATGCCTTCTGATGTTCACCCTCTCTTCTTTTCAAAACATCCCATCCCAAGATAGGATGCAAGAAAAAAAAAATAAAAAATTATCTGCAGAGCTGCCTCTACACAGTCTTCCATACCAACATAGAGGCAGCATCTAGCAAAGTTCCAAACCCCCATTCGAGTGAATGTCAGAGAACTGTCAGAAATAGGCTATTTCTGACAGTTCTCTGACATTCACTCCATACAGCGGTTGAGGATTGGATTTCCCATATGTCCATTGGATTTCCAGACAGAGAAACATGATTTGTCACTCCAGAGAACATTTCTCCACTGCTCTAGAGCCCAGTGGCGGCATGCTTTTACACCACTGCATCCAACGCTTTGCATTGAACTTGGCGATGTAAAGCTTGGATGCAATTGCTCAGTCATGGAAACCCATTCCATGAAGCTTTGTATGCACTGTTGTTGGACTAATCTGAAGGCCACATGAAGTTTGCAGGTCTTTAGCTATTGGCGACTTCTGCACACTGTGCACTTCAGCATGTGCTGACCCCATTCTATAATTTACGTGGCCTGCCACTTCATGGCTGAGTTGCTGTTGTTCTCATTTCCTTCCACTTTGTTATAATACCACTAACAGTTGACAGTGGAATATTTATTAGCCAGGAAATTTCATGGATAGACTTATTGCACAGGTGGCAATTTATCACGGTACCACGCTTGAATTCACTGAGCTCCTGATTTTACAAATGTTTGTAGAAGCAGTCTGCATGCCTAGGTGCTTGATTTTACACACCTGCGGCCATGGAGGCGATTGGAACACCTGAATCCAATGATTTGGAGGGATGTCCCAATACTTTTGGCAATATAGTGTGTGTATATATATATATATATATATATATATATATATATATATATATGAACATTTTTAACATTGCCCATAACATGAGTGACAACTGTATTAATTTCACAGAGCACAGTGATCAGTGTAAATTTGCAGTAACAAATACAACCAATAGGAATTCACTTTACTGGAGTCCAACCAGATGCGTTGTGATTGGCATGCAAACTGCAGTCTGCCTGTTCTGTTATATTGAATAATCCTGCTGATATGAATTTGAGGGGAAAATAAACACTTAAAGGCTTCAACATTCTCAAAAAAAATTATCATGGATCCCTATGCAATTGCGGTATTATGTATTGTTTAAAGTTGAACTTCAGGCAGATATAATCAGACACAAATTAATGCAAGGCTCTATTTATTAATATATCCTTAAAGAATAAATCAGGCATGGTATACTTTTACATAGTTACATTGATCCAACATGCCCCAATGTAACTATGTATATACTATACCTCGCTGATGCTCCTGAAAATTGAAAATTGCTGAAGTGGACACTGCTACTCCAATAATCTCCTCCTGCTTATGGGTCCTGTGCCAAGTGGTTGGTCTGATGCATTCTGAACACAGGAGGTTGGCTGCTCAGCACAGGTTCTATTCTCAAAATGAATGAAATGCATTCTCTGCTTGGAAAAAGTGGAGAGGTGGGACAGTGATGTCACAATGCAGCAGGGCAGCTGCTCTGTGCAAGACCTGAAACCAAGTGGAGATCTTTGGAGTAGCGTTGTCTACATTAGTAATTTCCAGCTTCACAGGACATCAGCAAGGTATAGCATATACACAGTTACATTAGTCCAGTGTTTCTCAATTCCAGTCCTCATGGACCCCCAACAGGTCATGTTTTCAGGATTTCCATTATTTTGCACAGGTGATTTGATCAGTTTCACTGCCTTAGTAATTACCACAGCTGTTTCATCTGAGGGAAATCCTGAAAACACTGCATTAGTCCAACACACACAAGGAGACACAAACTCCTTGTTCATTACCATCATACAATCTATTATGTCCCAAAAAGACAAATGGATACTCACAAGTGATTAAAAACATCAGGCATATAACATGAATACTTCAGCCTTGGGTGGTAAGTCCCATCATTGAACCATCTGATTGAAAAGCTAACGTACCTAAGCACTGTTAGGAGCACCTTGAATTGAGCGCTGGAGTGTTTTTGAATTTAGTTATTCAAGCTGGACCAATGTAACTATGCAAAAATATACCATGCCTGGAATTATTCTTTAAAATGTACTTTTAAAATTCAATTAGTGTAAACGAATTTGATCTGGTACAAGCATTTTTGGGGTACCTACACAGTCGAGCTCAGACTGTGGGAAGGTAACGTAGCACAAGGAGCCAGTCAGTTGTGCTCCACTACAAACAGCAAGCTGATAGCATAAAAGAGAAACTGACAGAGCAATGAGCTCATCAGTATGCTGCTTCTCTTTTCACTGTCCAGCGACAGGGTTGGGGAGGGACAAGACCTGAACGTTACTGAACTGCAGCAGAGAAAAATCAGATATTTTGCCCCACTAGACAGGGATGTGCTGTGTAGTACAGCTGTAGAGACTGGATAAAATAATTTCGCTGCTAGAAACAAGTTCCTATATATGTATAAAATTAGGGAGAAAGGTGAAGTTGTCACTCATGTCAACCAATTGTATCCCAGCTGTCATTTGTGTAGTGCAGGTTATAGATTTAAATTAAGTATCTGGTGTCTTGCAATGAGAAAATAAGCCTTT